GGGATGGGCTGGGAATGGCTGGGAATGGCAGGAATGGGCTGGGAATGGCTGGGGATGGGCTGGGAATGGCTGGGAATGGGCTGGGAATGGGCTGGGAATGGGTTTGGGATAGCTGGGAATGGCTGGGATGGGCTGAGGAACTGTTCCCATTCCCACTCTCCCATTCCCATTCCCACTCTCCCATTCCCATTCCCACCTACCAGAACCTGCTTCGCTCGCTCCGTCTCCCACTTGAGGCTGGCCCGGATCTCGCTGACCGTCACAAACCCCTTTTTCTGGGAAAACATCCAGGAAAAATCCCGGCTCTCTCTCATCCCAGCTCAGACCAATCCCAGTTTATTATGGGAAAAACAAGATTTTTCCAGCTGGTTTTCATCCAGATTTAAATCCACACTTCAGCAGCTTCACCCACAAACCAGATCCAATCCCAATTCCCCATTCCCAGCCCTTTTCTGGGATCATTCCCATCAATTCCCTATTCCCAGCCCTTTTCTGGGATCATTCCCATCAATTCCCCATTCCCAGCCCTTTTCTGGGATCATTCCCACCTCTGCCAGCTGCAGCACCACCGTGTGATCCATGTTCAGCTCTGCCGGCACCGACTGCACCAGGAATGTTCCTCCCACCGGGATGATCCCAAATCCGTTCCCCAAAACCTTCAGCTTCTTGATGGCCCGGAGCAGATCATCCCTGGGGAGCAGTAATTCCAGCTGCAATTCCAGCTGCAATTCCAGCAGCAATTCCAGCTGCAATTCCAGCTGCAATCCCAGCCCCGGGAATGCCGGAGCCTCCAGCAGGAACAGCCCCGTGCTGCTGTTAAAAACCGGGAATTGCTTCCATAAAGGAATTTGGGATTGGGATTTTGGCATCTGGGCAGCCTTGAAGGTTCAGCCCCCAAAAATGGGAGTTCTGTCCTAAAAATCTGTGTCTGATGGGATTTATCCATCCCTTCCTTGCAGTTCCAGCGGGAAAAATCCTCCCAGGGCTGGATTTTTAGGGAAAAAACCCTCCTGGGCTGGATTTTTATGGAAAAAATGGTCTCCAGCCGCAGGCAGGAATTGCTCAGGATCCCAGAGCATCCCGTGGGAAGGGCGGATCCAGCAGGCCTGGCTGCAGCTCTGGGAATTCCCGAGGCTGGGAAGGGACCCCCCCCTTTTCCCAATCCCGAATTCCCGGCACTCACTGGCTGACGTCCTGAGCGAATTTCCCCCTCCCCTTCAGCACCTGCTGCTGCAGCTCCTCCAGCGTGATCAGCCCTGGGAGCGGGGAATGCCGGGATTAGCCCGGGATTAGCCCGGGATTAGCCCGGGATTATCCTGGAACAGCGCCTGGGCTGCTCCCAGCTTCCCATGGATGGATGGGATTGGGATGGATGGGACTGGGATGGATGGGACTGGGATTGATCCCTGGGATCAGGGATGGATCCCTGGGATTGGTAAGGATCCCTGGGATTGGGAAGGATCCCTGGGAATGGGAAGGATCCCTGGATCAGGGATGGATCCTGGGATCAGGGAAGGCGGATCCCTGGGATTGGGAAGGATCCCTGGGATTGGGATGGATCCTGGGATCAGGGAAGCGGATCCCTGGGATTGGGATGGATCCCGGGATCAGGGAAGGCGGATCCCACCTCCGTTGCGGTGTTTCAGCGCCAGGCACACCTCGATGATCTGCACCCCCA